GACACTTTGTGTTGTCTTACAAGAAGCGCGTGCAAGGTTTTCTCGGAGTGCTTCCCTTTTTCCCTCATCACTCTTTGCCCTCCTTGATTGACGCATTCCTCTATGGCTTGAGTATAACTATAAACTATAAATGCTTAGTGGGATCAGCCCCACCGGCTTTGATGCATCCTCCTAGAAGACCACGCGCACTACTTTTTAAGGCAATTTGGATTTTCGCGGCAGAGCGCGAGTTAATGAAACGCGCGATCAAATATTTTACTCAGAAAATGTATCTAGGAATAAGAATTTTGGAATGTTAACATTTCATGTATTCATTTGCATCTGGAAAATGTTCAGTATCTACATACTGTTTTACCATTTGTTAGCTTTAATTTAAGAGTAGAAATAGTAAACGTAAGATAAAATGAGATGTGAAAAACGAAGTGTGCATTATAAATACAAAGAATTAAAGCCTAGAAATGTGTTTAAAAATGTGTACAATGTTCGGTGGTCAGTCACCCAGTCATACGAAGTACAAGAAGACTATCGCAAATGATTTCTAGCGATCCAGCGATCCACCGATCTAGCGATCCAGCGATCCAGCGATCCACCGATCTAGCGATCCAGCGATCTAGTGATCTAGCGATCCAGCGATCCAGCGATCCAGCGATCCAGCGATCCAGCGATCCACCGAGAGGAAGCGATCCAGCGATCCACCGATTTCTTTGATAGTGACCGAACCCCAATAACCCGGCGATAGGGATCCAGCGATCTAGCGATCCAAGCGATCCAGCGATCCAGCGATCCAGCGATCCAGCGATCCAGCGATCCACCGATCTAGCGATCCAGCGATCCAGCGATTAAGCGATCCACCGATCCAGCGATCTAGCGATCCACCGATCTAGCGATCCAGCGATCCAGCGATCTAGCGATCCAGCAATCTAGCGATCCAGCGATCCAGCGATCTAGCGATCCAGCGATCCATCGATCGGCCGATCTAGCGATCCAGCGATCTAGCGATCCAGCGATCCACCGATCTAGCGATCCAGCGATCCAGCGATCCAGCGATCCAGCGATCCAGCGATCCACCGATCCAGCGATCCAGCGATCCAGCGATCCAGCGATCCAGCGATCCAGCGATCCAGCGATCCAGCGATCCAGCGATCCAGCGATCCAGCGATCCAGCGATCCAGCGATCCAGCGATCTAGCGATCCAGCGATCCAGCGATCTAGCGATCCAGCGATCCAGCGATCCGATCGATCCAGCGATCCAGCGATCCAGCGATCCAGCGATCCAGCGATCCAGCGATCCAGCGATCCCGATCCGATCTAGCGATCCAGCGATCCAGCGATCCAGCGATCTAGCGATCTAGCGATCCAGCGATCCACCGATCCAGCGATCTAGCGATCCAGCGATCCAGCGATCTAGCGATCCAGCGATCCAGCGATCCAGCGATCCAGCGATCCAGCGATCCAGCGATCCAGCGATCCAGCGATCTAGCGATCCAGCGATCCAGCGATCCAGCGATCCAGCGATCCAGCGATCCAGCGATCCAGCGATCCAGCGATCCAGCGATCCAGCGATCCAGCGATCCAGCGATCCAGCGATCCAGCGATCCAGCGATCCACCGATCTAGCGATCCAGCGATCCAGCGATCCAGCGATCTAGCGATCCAGCGATCCAGCGATCCAGCGATCCAGCGATCCAGCGATCCAGCGATCCAGCGATCCAGCGATCCAGCGATCCAGCGATCCAGCGATCCAGCGATCCACCGATCCAGCGATCCAGCGATCCAGCAATCGATCCAGCGATCCAGCGATCCACCGATCGATCCAGCGATCCAGCGATCCAGCGATCCAGCGATCCAGCGATCGATCAGCGATCCAGCGATCCAGCGCGATCCAGCGCGATCCAGCGATCAGCGATCCAGCGATCCACCGATCCAGCGATCCAGCGATCCAGCGATCCAGCGATCCAGCGATCCAGCGATCCAGCGATCCAGCGATCCAGCGATCCAGCGATCCAGCGATCCAGCGATCCAGCGATCCAGCGATCCAGCGCGATCCAGCGATCCAGCGATCCAGCGATCCAGCGATCCAGCGATCCAGCGATCCAGCGATCCAGCGATCCAGCGATCCAGCGATCCAGCGATCCAGCGATCCAGCGATCCAGCGATCCACCGCGATCCAGCGATCCAGCGATCCAGCGATCCAGCGATCCAGCGATCCAGCGATCCAGCGATCCAGCGATCCACCGATCCACCGATCCACCGATCCACCGATCCAGCGATCCAGCGATCCAGCGATCCAGCGAGCGATCCAGCGATCCAGCGATCCAGCGATCCAGCGATCCAGCGATCCAGCGATCCAGCGATCCAGCGATCCACCGATCCAGCGATCGATCCAGCGATCTAGCGATCCGATCCAGCGATCCAGCGATCCACCGATCCACCGATCTAGCGATCCAGCGATCCAGCGATCCAGCGATCCAGCGATCTACCGATCTAGCGATCCAGCGCGATCCAGCGATCCGATCCACCGATCAGCGATCCACCGATCCACCGATCCACCGATCCGATCCAGCGATCCAGCGATCCAGCGATCCAGCGATCCAGCGATCCAGCGATCCAGCGATCCAGCGATCCAGCGATCGATCCGATCCGATCCAGCGATCCAGCGATCCAGCGATCGATCCAGCGATCCAGCGATCCAGCGATCCAGCGATCCAGCGATCCAGCGATCCAGCGATCCAGCGATCCAGCGATCCAGCGATCCAGCGATCCAGCGATCCAGCGATCCAGCGATCCAGCGATCTAGCGATCGATCCAGCGATCCAGCGATCCACCGATCCACCGATCTAGCGATCCAGCGATCCAGCGATCCAGCGATCCAGCGATCCAGCGATCTAGCGATCTAGCGATCCAGCGATCCACCGATCCACCGATCCAGCGATCCACCGATCCAGCGATCCACCGATCTAGCGATCCAGCGATCCAGCGATCCAGCGATCCAGCGATCCAGCGATCCAGCGATCCAGCGATCCAGCGATCCACCGATCCAGCGATCCAGCGATCCAGCGATCCAGCGATCCAGCGATCCAGCGATCCAGCGATCCAGCGATCCAGCGATCCAGCGATCCAGCGATCCAGCGATCCAGCGATCCAGCGATCCAGCGATCCAGCGATCCAGCGATCCAGCGATCCAGCGATCCAGCGATCCAGCGATCCAGCGATCTAGCGATCCAGCGATCAGCGAGCGATCCAGCGATCCGGCGAGCGATCCAGCGATCCAGCGATCAGCGATCCAGCGATCCAGCGATCCAGCGATCCAGCGATCCACCGATCCATCCGATCCAGCGATCCAGCGATCCAGCGATCCAGCGATCCAGCGATCCAGCGATCCAGCGATCCAGCGATCCGAGCGATCCAGCGATCCATCGATCCAGCGATCGATCGATCCAGCGATCTACCGATCCAGCGATCCAGCGATCCACCGATCCACCGATCCACCGATCCACCGATCCAGCGATCCAGCGATCCAGCGATCCAGCGATCCAGCGATCTAGCGATCCAGCGATCCAGCGATCCAGCGATCCAGCGATCCAGCGATCCAGCGATCCAGCGATCCAGCGATCTACCGATCCACCGATCCAGCGATCTAGCGATCCACCGATCCAGCGATCCAGCGATCCACCGATCCACCGATCCACCGATCTAGCGATCCAGCGATCCAGCGATCCAGCGATCCAGCGATCCAGCGATCTAGCGATCCAGCGATCCAGCGATCTAGCGATCCAGCGATCCACCGATCTAGCGATCCAGCGATCCAGCGATCCAGCGATCTAGCGATCTAGCGATCCAGCGATCCAGCGATCCAGCGATCTAGCGATCCAGCGATCCAGCGATCCACCGATCTAGCGATCCAGCGATCAAGCGATCCTGTGACCCACTGAAATCGATCCAGCGATCCAGTGATCTAGAGATCCAGCGATCCACCGATCCAGGGATCACAACCCATCACTACACATCACTACTCCATTTGGTGAGTAATTTTGCAATATATCGGAAGCGTCGTCAGCGTCAATCGTTGAAGTATATAAAAGGGTGAGGAAATCTTTCATTTGGGTGTGTGAAAGGACCCAGAAGGGCTGTAACAGATGAATTTTATGGCTTTACGAGTATAAAGTAGAGAAAACGTTCTATTTTTGTGATTGACTGCTATTTAAAAGACAGCGCATTTACAGCAGTTAAGAGGAATGCAAAATTCCAAACATGGTATTTGAGAGGGGTATCATTAGTCAGTAAAAGGTATTCGAAAGGCGAAAGGGATACCTTTTTCATTGAAAATGGTATATAAAAGGGTAAGGGTTGGACCTTGGGACGGAGCCGCTCGGTGTAAACAGTTGTTGAGTACCCCCCCCCCCGCCTTCCCCCGGGTCCACGTACGACAGCCTGAACTGTGTTTAGGCATAACGTGCGGGCTTTTTCGATATTTTGGCCTATCTTAGATCCTTTTTTACAGGCAGGTAGAAAACCCAAGTCACAGGTTACAAGTGCAGGTCACTGCCCTATGGATAAATAACTGAGATAAGCAGTTGACCTGTACTGTAACCTGCAGTTGATGACTTGCGTTTTTAACCTGCCGCTATCTTAGGGTGATTTGCACTCTAGCTTGAATTGGACGCCTTTTCTCAGCAAATAAGAAATAAAAATATTATTGTAGCTTGTAGCTAAATCTGGGGCTGATTTGTGTTCGAATTCAGTCTAAATTAACTCCATTTGGTGAGTAATTTTGCAATATATCGGAAGCGTCAGTTGGGTGCGTTCAATTTAAGTTGAAATAGCAAATAAAATGGTTTAATTTACGGCTTTAGATAGGAACATAAACACGAAAACGATAATTCAAATACAGTGATAAATTTTATTTACAATAATATTTAAAGCACCATCTGTTAAACTTGTGCTGTAAAATGGTAACTACATTTTTTAAATAAAAGCTCAAGGAACTCAATTGTTCATCCTTTTGCAAAAGAATAAAAATTTACTAAAAGCTTTAAGATTAAGTTAACATTCAAGATAAATAAAAATTGCTGTTGCTTCTTGAGGGCTTATGGAGTTACCCTCCAGGCCCCAGTTGTTCAAAGGCCGGATAACGCTATCCATTGGATAAATTTTTAACCAGTATATAGAGCAATTGGTTTCCCTAATACTTCTCCACTTGATAGTAATTTATCTGGTTATCCCGGTTTGAACTACTGGGGTCAGTAGGAAAAACCCCTTTGCAGTTTGTCATTCACGTGGTACAAAACTGTCATGTTGGAGAGCAAGGGATGCCATGGGATGAGACAAACAAAAAGCTTACATCATTTAAAAAGGTAATTTTATTTGTTTTTCTTCTCCCAGTGCATCTCTCGTTCTCCAGTAACGAGGTTTCATAACACAAGAATGACTTGCTGCAAAGTGCCTACCACAGCACTGCTTTACTCTTTTCAGTTCAAATGTCTAACTAAATGTATACCTTCCCTGCCCTTTCTAAGTGGGAGGGGAAAGGTACAGATTTTTAAATATGAAGCTTTAGCGACAATGACAAAATTGGAAGTGAAATAGGTCACTTATAAAGTACATCTGTATTGGTTTAAACTTCATCATAATAATATTAAATTATTCCACATCACTCAAGTCGTCAAGTAGCGTAATTTTCCAGGAGTTGATTGGTCAGAGACTGCAACAAACTTTAAAAGGACAAAGGAAAGTATTACTGTCATAGGTTCAGATCCACTCTGACACATTACCTCAGGACATTTCATGTGAAAGCCTATATAGCAGTTCTTTGTGTTTCCTTTTCAGCCAAGTGAGACAGGCATGCAAGATGTGCGTACCCAAGAGGCAAACAAGGAGACAAAAGTGAGTGCTACTCAGACTAGAAATTACAGTAAAACCTGCATATAATAACCTAAAATTTAAGAACCTGTTAGGCTAAACAGTTCACTTTAAATCCCCTTTTCATAAGAATCTATTTAGCCTAAAATTTTCAATAGGCTCTTATTTTCCAAAAATGAAGGCAAATAATATGAAAATATAGGAAAAAATTTTAGTCTAGGTTTCAGTCAATAAGATTCAAAGAATGAACTAAAATGAAAACCATATAATGTCTTTGCCAACACTGGATTACACAATGCAATTATTAAGAATACAGATCCATGTGTCTCTCTCATATGCTCAGTTGTAGTCTGTGCTGATAGCTGGTGCCTCTATTAAATTAAGAACCTATTTAAGAACCTACGTAGCCTAAAATCCCACTAAATACCATTTCTATAAGAACCTATTTAGGCTAAGTTGGAAAAATCTAGGGTTTTTATACATGGGGTTTTACTGTATTTGTTATTTTGCCCACAATCTGTTGTGACTGCCTGAGTTCTTGTTAATTATCTGGAACTAAACATTTTAAAATTATATTCTCATGATGGCCATGGATGACCAAGTCCCAGTCCTTTTGGCCTCAAATAAGCGCGCACAGGATCTTTGATCCCATTTCTCTCAGATCCTAGTCCTGTTCCAGGAGTCCAGCCCATGACTCTTAGCATTTGATTGCCAATGTTTGAAGGTGGTATAGGGTCAGCTTCTCCGCCTACTGACGCTGTTAAAAAAGGAACTTAGGTCAGTAATTTGCTTAATACAACTATGAATAGTATTATTGTTTGTTAACAGCAAACCAACATGATTTCATCATCATCATCACTTGTTAACTTAAACTTAGTTTTTGAGACACACCCTGACTTAATCATACTTGACACAAGGAGGAGCTTTCATATGAATGGTCTTCACAATCAAGTCTCATAACAAAATGGAACCACAGGAAAGTACTGCTTAGATGCTTTCATTTGATTCTTAGAACAACTGTTTGCACTGTAATAAGCGGTACTTAAGACAGTGTTTTTATACTGTAGCACTCAGTTGAATGTTTTTTTTTTTAGTATTATGCATAAACCTGACAGTTAAGACTTACAGGATATCAAACAATACCACAGAAATGTGCAGTGCAGAATAACCTAGAATACGTTACCAAAAAAATAATTGAACACAATCTTTAAAGTTAAGGCAACTGAAAGACAAAAAGACTGAGGGTTTTGGACTCTGCGCCTTCTATAAAAGGTGAAGTTACAACACTACTTACTATGTGATATATCAAACTGAGGAGGTGGCATCTTTCTACGTCGTTTGGATTCTGCTCCTGGGCGACTGTGGGGTCTTGGAGGGGACAAGTGACTAAAAAAGATAACAAATAATAATCTACATGATTATGACAGTGTCAAGAATTTCTATGTGTACATGTAGTTTCCCAAACCTTTCAGTGGCATAAAACTATTTAATATTAGAATGGTTTCTGTCCTTTGATCCTTGTTGTTTTATACATTCAGTAAATGTAATTATTTTGCAAAATGCTACAAATTAGTTTTTACCTTGTCTTGCGAAGTAAAACTCTTCCTCTGTGGGCGGGGTCTGTCAGACATTGAAGGGAGTATAAAGATGCCCATTGGTACACCTGTGCATTAACAAAGAATATAATGTGGGTATGCCTGTGTGTCAAATGAAAGAAAGAAACAGAAAGGATCGGAGTTTTTTTGATACCTGTGCTGCTTCCATTTTGTTGGATGGGTATATAGAAAGCCTGCAAGAGAAAGGAAAATAATTGAAGCATGTTGTTTGGTGAAAAGCTTAAAGGTCAAGCATTTACTTTGAGATGAACAAAAAAGTGTAAAGATCAGTTGAAAAAATGTATTAACATTTTTGATGATAATGATAATGATGATGATGATGATAATGATGATGATAATATTGCTATTGCTGAACAACTCACTCTGTCCATTTTTCATTCTGTAGAAACACTGCGATGTTTCTGTTGATATCACCCACTGTGATAAACTGCAAAACAGAATCATAATATTTTAAAAAGTAATTACCCATTAGTTATTGTCACAGAGAAGAAACTAAACTAAAATGGCCTCTACCCCACCTTAGAAAATTCTTGACAGTCTAAAAAAAAATCAAACATGCTGCAGTAACCCCATAGCTCACGAGAGTAGAATCAGGATCTCAGCCCTTGCAATTCTTACTCAATTCTGTTTCTACTTGTCTTGTAATCCCTTACCTGACCATGTGCAAGTTGGTTTTTCTTTAGCCTTCCTTGGAGACCTGTAGCATAACATCAAGTTTGTACAGCATTTAGTAATCTTCTTTTAATACATGTATTTGAATTACACTTTCTGTGCAAGAGTTTTTTGCACTCAAGCACTCTCCTACAAAGGTAAGGACATCATGTCTGTATTTTTTTTTGGCTTTTTCATGTAAACTGTTGGATGGAACTATCAATTTTTGACAGCCACTTTTATCATCTACAGCTTGTTGTTAAGCTTGTTGTTGGGAGCTGTTGATGAGTGCACAGATGTTTAATAACGGCTGATCCTTACACTGTGTTTGATGCCAGTTGAGACTGGGAAGGAGGCCAGAGAGAACAACATATGAACGTTGGCTGGCACTGGCTTTCCTAGCTAGTATACAAAGGTACCACAAAAATGTTTTGTTTCCTTCTTTTCAGCAGTTGATTATGAGGCAGAGATATTCATGGCTTGGATAACTTTGAGGGGAGTCATCACAGGGCTGTGATTAAGAGGCGGGGCCGGGGATTTTCACCGGCTAATATGAATGAGGGCCCCAGCTAAAAAGAAACCCCAAGCTGTTTGATTCTCCGCCTATGCATTGTATTTACCTGGCAACTTGAAATCTTAGTGACAACCCTGAGTCATCACCTCTCCCTTGTTGGGAACATGGATCCTCAAATTTATAACGCACTTATCAGTGACCATCGCGGGGGTGACCTTGGGAACATACACAGGCATTGCACAGGATTTGTTGAGTTTTGTTGGCGATTTTTAGCCTGGGATTGAGGGACAGGATTGATTTTCAACTTATTTTAAGCAGGAAAGACCCGTAGGATTTGTAACACCGACTAAGCCACTGCCATTTTGAAAAGGAGCTGGTGTTTTCTCTGCGAAGACTGGGTATGAACTGCAGTACACGTTCCAAAATGGCAACTGAGAGAAAGGTGGGTCAGTTTTCCTTTTTTCTTACAAACCTCCCTTTTTGTCAGCCATCCTTTGCTAACAAAGCAAAAGGACCTTTCACAAGAATATCTATGATTCTTTCTATGCCAATCTTTAGCAACTTGGAACTGGCCACCAGTGTATCCCTGGGGGGAGGGGACAATGGTAGATTTTGTGGAGAAATATTGTTCTTAGGTGGGGGAGGGATTTGTAAACGTTGTTCTGCAAATGCCCAGGAGTTCCCCGCGGTCACCCCTGGGATGGCTGCTGATAAGTGCATAAATAACCAAAGCTAAGATGACTGTTAAAAGACTTTTGATCGACACTTTAACAAAAATCAAGACTACATGTATACTACCTGAACTATCCTTTCCTTCAACACCAGAAACAAATGGCCTTCTGTATCCATCCATAACTCCATTTACAATGTTCTGGAATTTCTCTTCTTCTACATCACTTGCAGTTTTCTCGTCCCACCATGGACTTATTTTAACATCGCACTCAAATGAGCTTTCTTCCTTTTCATCATCGCCCATACAGCCCTCGTCATTTGTAAATAATCCCTCCAGATCGCTTTCCCCCGAGGAAGATAGATCAGCTCTTAAAAGATCTATTGACATTTTTTCTTCGCGGTCTTCGTAGCGTAACCAAGTAGATGAAAGTGGTGCATTACGTTCCTTGGGTATGCTGTAAGTCTTTGAAGTAGAAACACGTTGCAGTCTAGATGGCAGCTTATAGAAATGATTCGAAGAAGTGTTGGTCTCCATGGGTTCTCCACATCCACTACTCAAACCATTTTCGATATCGGCCAAACTTCCCTCTTCATCTCTGCGTCTAAGGCTGTTATGAATCTCACTGCCGATGGCAGACTTTCCACATACCTTGCGTTTTCTCGTTCGACTCAGTGCTTTTAAGTTCACCATGGCAAGCGAGGAATCGCGATCATTTAACGATTGTGACGAGGACACCCGCTTATGCTTCCGCTTTCGTTTTTTTCTGCGTTTCGTTAATCCAACTAAAGGCTCGCTAACAGAATCACTTTCTGCCTTCTCCCTGTCTGGGACAGGATAGGGATCTAAATTATCACGCCCATGTAATTGCACTTTCAACAAACGTTTTGTAAAAGACATTTCATCCTCCGGATCAGAATCACTTTGACACTTAATATTTTCGATGTAATCCATTAAGGCCTCTTCCACTGAATCATTGCTTTCTGCACTAATATTGCGAATTTCTCGCGAGGGAGGATAGTCCGATCGTCGCTTTTTTCCTCTACGTTTTCTTGATGTCTTGCGTATCGGAGTTCCCGAAGGGGATTCTCTGGTGCCAATCGTTGTGTCGGAATGAGCCGATGGTGGGTCATTCGTGCGAACTAAAGCGCTACTGAGATCAGCAACAAGTTCATCCATTTCAGCTTGGGAAAGACGTGTTGATTTTCTATCTGATAAACACGGAAATTGAACTATTTTCGTGGAAAAACATGTTTTCGCCTCTACCACTGGCCGCCATCTTTGAAATTTACACGACCAAATGGTCTAGTTCCCAGTCTATCACACGTTAGTTTACAAAATGGCGGCATTGTGCTTCGGTTCGATTCAACTTGGTGACTTTGTTTTGAGACGGTTTCCACGGAAATCGCTCCTTGACAAAGTAATGTATGCATGGATGGTTATTCAATTATATCCCCTCTTTACGCAAAATTACGAGGGAAGGAAGACATGTGTTGACATATGTGAAACAATTTCGTCGTCGTGGAAGGGAATTTGAAAAGTGGAAAAGTGGAAAAAGCATTACCAGAAAATGTGATGTGAAATCCATCCTTTTCACTCCGGTGGTTTGTTTGCTAGGAATTGGGTAAGCAGAAATTTAAGCGAATCAGATCAAACAATTTAACAGCCGATTAAAGCGGCGTGACGATCAGTTTCTTTGCAAGTTTTTTTTCAGTGCAAACAACAAATTGAGTCATTGAAACATTGATCATGAAATGCTCTCTACTTTAATCGACCATAGCAGCATTAGAACGTTTCAGAGACTGACTGCATGATGTTTCCAACACCATAGCCTCAAACTCAACCTTTTGACCATAGCCTTATATTGGCATTTAAAGCCAACGCTGACACACAGTTCAAAGTTTTTTGTTCAAGTAGATGCACTGCCTCCTCTTGTTCAACCAATGCCATGCCGATCGTATATAGACCTTGTCACGGTTTTCGACGCCATCTTGACGAGTAGGCAAATGTGTGAGAAATTACAGTGTTTGTATGAGAATCTAATGTCGAATAATTTCCACAAAAGGGCTGTTTTGAAAAAAATATCAATTGTAAACTAAAGCTTCAAAGCAAAGGATTGTCCTAAACAATTTTGGGGGCATACCTGTTCTTAAATTTCTCTAGAGGCTTGCTTTAGATTTTCCATATATTTGTCTGTAATTTTCCTGGGACTTTCTTACAGACAAATGTATAGAAAATTTGTATAGAAAATTTTATAAAGTCGTTCTAGGTCTTCTAGTGCATGTAACGCCCTTGATTTTTTTCAGTAGAATCCGTAGGAGCGAAGCTTTAGTTTACAAATCATATTTTTTTCAGAAGAGCCGTTTTACGGAAATTATTCAACATTAGATTCTCATACAAACACTGTAATTTCTCACGCGTTTGCCTGCTCGTCAAGATGGCATCGAAAAAGGTCGGGATTGGGGATTTTCAAGCAAAATTGGGAGATTTTTAGCGGATGTACAGTGATGTAATTTTCTCATTTTCTGTTTTTCGCTTTTCAAAATTTTCTTTTCTTTAATGGTTTCTATATATGGTTCACCTTATTGTAGTGATCGAGTGTTAAGAGTATTATAGTCTTTAATGACACATATTTTTAGCTGTACATGTTTTACACATAGAAAGAAATCCTTTTTAAACGTTTTAAAAACTGTGAGCATATTATTCAAATATACTTTACTTAAAATGTTTTAATTACTTTAAAGGGAAGGTTTCACGGTTCAGCGCATGCTTATTGATCAAAATGCTGTTTTTCTGCCAGAACATGCTGTGTCGTCTACGCAAGCAATATGATCCTCTCATAATGTTGTCAAAGAACCACTCTGCACACTCCCCTAGCAGTCACTTGATCAACTTATCTGCAAATAGCTGTAAATTCATCAACCATGGAATAAAACCTTCAGGTCAACAATAAATTAAACATTGGTAGTGTTGGGATAATCCACTAATTTTTTCTGAGATAATTTTTAGTTCTCCTCCATCCCACTTCTGAAATACACTTCTACTTTGAAATACACTCAGAGATCACTGAGATACATGTGAGTGGGGTTGTTAAGAGATAGAATTAATAATAAATTGGAAAAAGGTAATAAATATTATTATTTTTGTTGAGGTGTGGATTAGAAGTGTGATTTACTTGATTAATGAAGAATTCATTTTTATTTTTATATTAAATTGGGAGAATCCAGACAAAGTGGGGATAGTTGGACAGTCTGCCTAACTTTTCTTCAGTTGTCTCTCAGTCTCATCGAGAGAAGTCTTTGGTCATGCTTCTCGCATTCCATCCTCTGCGTGCGGTCTAAATAGAGGTGCTGAGCAAAGATGAATTATATAAGAGTATTATTAGTAGGTAATATTAATTGCTTGTGTATTTTTTTTATTATTTACTCTTCATATAACAGTGTTTGATGGTTGGATGTCCAATATGTAAACTTCATCTGCCTTTCACGTGAGCAAGTGCAAAGAAATATCATATTCAACAGTCTTAAAATAGCTGCATAAATGTCAAAATGGGTTGTGCTCCATCATCGCAAAGCCTTCAAGTCAGTGACAATGAAACCCGTCTCCTGCAAGAAATCGACCGCTTGAGATTTGAACAGCAAACACAGCAATTTGAAATCAGCAAATTGCGTCAAGAAAATGAAAAACTGCGGGAAGGTCAAGTTAACGGTGCCCATGACAACGTTGAGTTTGGTTATGAGATGACAGAAGAAGATGGTGGCCATGAGGTTCTTGTGCAGGAAATTGAGAAACTAAAGCTTGAGCAACATGAAAGGGACAGAGTGATCAATGATCTAAGACTAAATAATGAGGAGTTAAATAGGAAGCTCTATGAGAATGAACAACAAGCCCAGGTATTTAATTTTATAAGGAGTTTGTCTCAAGTTCATTAATACAAATGCTGTCATCTTGTGTGAAGATTTAAGTTAAGTGTTTGATGTCAATATCCTTAATGCAAGTAAATTTTTTTTTTTACCAATCCTTTTTTTGGGTTGTCTGTTTTAGTGTCATGTTGTTTAGGGGTGAAATAAATCCTGTTGAGCCTTATTTAGGTTAGTTTCCTTTAGGAGACAATTTTGATTTTGTGACCAAAATCCATATTCCTTTTATGTGGGGGTCCCCTCAAACCATTTGCTTGGGTCTTAACATATCAAACTTCTTTAGAGAATTGTTTTTGGGGGGGTGGGGAAGGGGAGGGGTTACATTCTGTACATTTCTCCAACAAAACAAACTATTTCCAACTGGTTTAAAATGTCATAGTAGGCAAAAGAACTATGACATTCAAACTGTGAATTGTGAATTAACTAACCTGATTTTTTTGTGTATGTGTGTTTTCTAGTCCATTCCCACAGCATTTAGTCCAGGTGCACCCGCAAAAACTAGGAATTTGCCCAAAGTTGGAGACCCAGTAAGAATAAATTATTTTTTAGCTCAATATATTAACTTTTTAGTTCTACCACCTAATGTACTTGAAAATATTAGTACTGTCCTTACATCTGTGATCCTGTCTGGACCTTTGCATTGCCTGGTTCTATTTTCGTTTTGTTCTCTATAATCTGTTACATGTAGAAAATAAAAAGCTTTTTACCACAATAATGAGACAATGAATTTGCTTTTTCACATCTAAGATTTTAAACCATGAAAATGAAGACGTCATTTCAACTAGTCCCAAAAGCTTTTTACTTGAATTTCTTCTGCCCCATTTCAAAAAGATGACTGTTAACAGCATGAGTCGATAGCAAAATCCATTTGGGCTATCGGACAGTTTCTCAATTGCCCCATTTAAAGATACAGGTAATTTGCATCCAGTTCTATTCTACAGGTAATTCCCCTAGCATAGAACAAACTTGTTTGTAACTTGTTTGAGGTGTTGAAATTCCATCTCCTCTAGGTGCTAGCTATGTGGGAGGTGAGCCCATGGCAGTATTTCACAGCCACCATTGTCTCATTTGACTCCAATACACTCCAGTACACCATTGTGTGGGACGACCAAGATCCATCTGGCAGAATTGTGGATTACTACAATCTGGCCCTGGATCGTGTACCAGAACATGATGAGATTGCCATTGGATCGGTTGTCCTGTTTCCTCAAGGGAAGTACAAGGGACAGGAGGGTGTGCGACTTGGTGGACAGCGCTATCATCAGGTCAATGAAATATTTTAATTATTTTATTTTTATAGTTGCTCCTCTGTATTTGATATTGAATTATCATGTTTCTTTTTTGTTATTTTGTAGGGAAGAATAACCAATGTTTATGATGGCCCTGGAGGTGAAAAACGTTATGATGGTGAACATACCAAAGACGATGCCGATGGCAAATGGATTACTTACAAAGACTATAACCGTTATTTCTATGGATTAGAACTTCATCAATTCCGCATCTCCCCCAATGTGCTTGAAATTCTTTCTGCCCAGAATCCTGAGCCAACCAGTAACCAGCAGAGTAGAGCAACACACTCAAATCCGTGTGACATATTCATTTCGTACACAAAGGTAAGCTTATTGACTGTGATACTTACAGTTTTTGGCACTGTCAAAATGTTTACATTTTTGCTAAATATGAGTCACCAGTCGCGTCTCGTTTCCTGCAGCACAATGTGTAAAGTATTGTATGCTAACAAGATTCTCATTACATAGCATGAGATTTAGTGAAGTGGCAATTTTTGGCGTAAATTATCGAAAGCCTGTACTACACGAAAACAACTAATTTTGCATTTACTACTTTTTTGGCACTGTCATGCACTTAAACAATAGAACTATTCAGCTAACTCAATGTTGTACCTAACTCAAATCTCCTGGGGTTAAGATTCTTTGTGTATTGTATTTGAATTATAATGTGGCATTCTCATTTAAATGATATGGAAATTCGTGAAACAAACCGTTTTATTCCCAAAGGGTTTGAATTGCGTACAACATTGAAGCCCTGATTTTTTTCAGGCTTCTTCTTTCCAATTGCTTAAATTGGAAAATTTACTGCGATGATCATTCTTCACTTTCATCGACAACCACAGTTCAAAAATGAATTATTTCATATATACTTACGTCAACATTGAGTTAGCTGAATAGGTCTATTGTATCCTACATTGCAGGAATTGCATAAGGCACGAACTGATTTTTTTCAACATTCTTTTGTATTAAATTGTTTAATTGACAGGTAAATAGCCCTTCTGCTATTAGAAACCAAGAGGTGCTGCCTTCCGATGCCCCACCCAGTTACGACGAAGCAATACTGTCCAGCATTTGCGACCCACGTGACATCAGATTTCAACTGGAAAGTTGTGGAGTAACTTTGAATAAGGAGAAACAAGGAGCTGATGCCCTTATTCAGACAGTCCAAGAGATAAACACAGCCAAGGTGTTTGTGGCATGCCTCAGTGATGAATACGTGAAGTGAGTGCTGCTTTATTTGCAGAGCAATAAAACTGTTTGCATGTGTGAAAAGTGACTGAATGCATTCCGCAGGGTTTTGAATGGCTCAGAGTTGTTTTATCTCTACTATCGCTCTTCTTGTTAGATTGATCCAGTTTTCCCAAAGACGGTCACATTTTGGTTATTCGCACTCTTTATTAGTGTGACTATTAACCGTGGTCTGGTAAGGGTCCACTAAATAGTTATTTGAGGTCTGAATGTATGAAATAAAATTAAATAACTTAAGTACGTTTAGTTAAAAAAAAACACACAAGATGAATTTAGCAGGAAATTGCTATTATTGAGGACACTATTTTTAAGTCTCCTAATGGAGACAGGACTGTCATTTTACATGGTCAACAGAGCCACGAAAAGGTGTAGCCATTTGTATGGCAAAGTGGTACTCTCATTTCTCTCGGTTATTTTAAGACCCAAAATATTGGTTCGGACCTCAGGATTGAACCGGTGACCTTCTAGCCTGGGGACAAGCTCTCCAACTGGGGAAGTCAAGAGAAGTCACGCCAGAGCAGCCGCTCGCTCGTGTGTTCTCACGCTCGCTCACCATGATTGGAGAGCGTGCTTGCAATCTAGTGACCTCCCATTCTGCCGTTAAGTGCCCTACCGACTGATCTAGTCCCCCTGCGGTTAGTATACTGGACACTTCTTATTAACCCCTAAGTGTTGACCTTTAGGGATGAGATTTGTCGCCAGGAGTTTCAATATGCAAAGAAAACTGCCAAGAAGCCAGTGATCCCTATTGTTGTGGGCAGTGGATCATTTGACTGGATGATGACAGTGGTAGGACTACTTATCGCTGGTGAGATTTATATTCACTTCAGTAACAAAGATGTCCAGGAGGCTAAAATGGCTGAGCTGCTGAAAGCGGTGAAGAAGAGTGTTCCACAGGTTGCTCTTCCTGGTGAAATGGGAAGCGTGCAAGGTGAGTTTCACGTGAATTGTTCTTGAAATTAAAAATAGTGGCAACCCCCCTTAAGTGACAAGATTTGGGACTTTTCGATACATTCATACTGCTTCGTCATAACTGGGTGGGGCATCGGTTGGAAATTGATGATGGAGCTCACGTCACTGCATCACTGCAGAGTGTTCTGTTTGAACCACCTAACTGTTAGATAGGTGTTCTGTTCTGAATACCGAAAACGCCGGTCACATTTTTCAGCCGGTCAAAAAAGTGAATTCCATAGCCAGTAAGGGCAGGTAGTTGACAATAATCGACAGTAGAGAGCTTAAGCAACAACTACGGCGACAGTTACGAAAACGTCACTTAAAAGGTGAATTCGCGCTGCTTTAAAGTTTATCGCGGTTATTACATTTATTTCGTTTACTTCGTCAAATGCTGGCAAATGTTTTTGGAGTTGAATTCTGGATGACTGTATCAAAGTTCAAGAAAAGAAAAAGAAAGATGTTGTCTTGTGTTCTCGTCCTCAACAAAACGTGAATTTAGGAACTTTCACGTTGTAGTCGTGCAACCACGGCAAAAAAATGTTCCAAAAAAGCGTGATGCACCTGCAAAGTTTTTTTGCTAATCTAAACTTATTACTTTTTTGCCGTCCTCGTTGCCGTCGCCCTCGTCTTTGCTCAAGCTCCCTAATATGGACTGGACTGTCGTATCTTAGCCCCTTCAATATGTGTTTTCTTTCCTCAGATTTACGAACTTCAGAAGTGTCTGGACCAGGAACGAAGCCACTCAAAACTGCAGATGTTTTTGTGAGTTACTGCTGGTCAAATTCAGAAAGTGCTCACAGGTCTAAGCAAGTAAGTATGACTTAGTCTGACATTTTAGAACTGGAAAATTGACAAAGGATCGGAAAGAAACCCTGACATGTAATTTACCCAAATTCAGCCGTTAGGAACTGACCACCAAACCGAGTGTAAGAACATTTTAACCAAATGAGTCAGAAAGAAAGAACACACGGATGAAAAGTAAGATTGAAACAGATTACAATTGGGGTTCTTGAAATTTGCTAGTGTGAAAAAAGGGCCGACATCTCGCGATGCCACCACTGGTATCCCCTCAAAAAAAAGACGTCTGAGAAACGAGCGTAGAGATGACGTACTGATGACTTGTCACTACCTTGATCTGGGTAGTGCTTCTGATTGGTTGAAGAAATTTTTTTTTATCAGTTATCACAGAAGCATATTCTTCTTGTTATCATCAATGATTGCTTTGTTTCATGTATCCGTTGTTCCTTCTTGTTCCCGGTGTTCCCTCTTGTTCCCCTGTTCCCCGTGTTACCCCTTGTTCACCCTTGTTCCCCTTTGTTCCCTTGCTCCCCCTGTTACCCCTTTGTTCCCTTGTTCCCCTTGTTCCTCTTGTTCCCGCTTGTTCCCATTGTCCCTCCTTGTTCCTCTTGTTCCCCCTTGATCTCCCTTGTTCCCTTGTTCCTTTTGTTACCCCTTGTACCCTCTTGTTCCCCTTGTCCCCCTTTGTTCCCCTCGTTCCCCCTTGTTGCCCTTGTTCCCCTGTTCCCCTTGTTCATTTACAGTTTACGACTTTGAATGTTTGACAATCACAAATCTCAGTAAATGAAAAAAAACGATCACGGTTCAAGAGAAACCCCCTTAAAAGCCGGATACCGAATCATAAACACGTTACCGAAAAGGTTCTTCATCTGATCTGGTGAAGACGGTTAGTATGGGAAATTCGAAAGTCGGGGCAAAATTAAGAGAAAATGAAACAAATGTTTCACCCGAATTACTCGGACTTTATCAGCGTTGTGAAGTGACGGGTTGCGTAAGAGTTTTTTACAATGTTTTCTACTCGATAAAAAATCAATAGACAACTGAAAAAATAAAACGGTGATTGGTCTAATCTAAACGGAATCTTTTTTACCAGGTAAAGGATTTCACTGGTTCTCCTTTTGCTGACGCCAGGAAAGTTCACGCAAGTCTTGCTAATTTTGGCAAGTTCTCTTTGTGGATCGACACGGAGCGACTTAAAACCACTAATCAGAATGATGAGTCGTTGGGGATGGTAAGTAGTGTTGTGTTACAATAATTGCGAATTTAGAAAAGTGTGTAATTGAACGTCAAAAATAAATCCTTTGGATTGGGTGAAAATCTCACACCGTCTTGCTTTCCCGCACTTTGCCACGCACCCCTCACTCAAAGCTCAGATTGGTTCTGATTGGTTCATTGGATTGTCTTTTGCCCTAGTCTCCCCATAATATGGCCTGGTGTCGATGCCTTATTTGGGCTGAGTATAATGCCCAGGGGGTGCTCCCTTATATAAGCGACTTACGTATGTGTCGCCCGAAAGTGTGGAGTTTTTGCGCCGTTTTGGTCTGAAAACGGTTATAGATTTTGCTCGTTTTGGGCTGGAATCGGGCGTAGTTTTTGAGGGAACAACGGAAGTGTATGAACGTATTTATCGTTTCAATTCCAAATGAGTAAGAAAGAAAGAGAAATACGTAAATTCGACATTGATTTTAAGAAATCTTTTTTGTTATTGTTCTAATGTAAGAAATGATTTGCCTAGTCCCTATACGGCGTCTTTCCAGGCCCTCTCGGTCAGTGCATTTCGGTGACGTATCCGAGACGAACGGCCGGGAGACGCCTCAAAAACTTTCTCGGACCACGTGACTCGAAACGCATCGGCCGCGCATAATAATGAGGCCTAGGGACTAGGCAAAGAAGTGATGACATAATTTCTTAGAGGCCAGGTCTGAGAATGGGTATGGATTTTAGAGACCGGGTCTGAAATAGGGTCAGGATTCGGAGAACCAGGCGGCACACCCCACCAAAAACTCCGAGGAGTACCCACCTGGGTTTAATGTTGGTTCCCTTCTTTGCTCTGAGAGGGGTTTCTCTGGGTACTACGGTTTTCACCTCTCCTTTTGAAACCAACATTCCCAGACTCCAATTCCGTCTCAAAAATGTCTGCAATCAGTTGCGAACGCTCAGAGAGCGACAGGTATATCAGTTCTTGTAACTGTCACGAATCAACCTCTACAAATAACTTGAGTTAAGTTTGGTTTTTATTTATAGGTAGTAAATTAATAGTATTATTTTTTTACATTAGTAGTAGTAGCAGTAGTAGTCATTTTTTCCTTTTATGTGTGTTTAGTTTGCGCAGATCGCCGAAGGACTTGGAAAGGCTAAAGCAGTACTGGCCTTTGTGAGTAAACAGTATGCAAACAGTGAAAACTGCCGAATGGAAATCCAGTTTGCTATAAAGGTAGGCACAGTAAAAACAATCTTGGGTATGAGACTACCTTGGAAAAACAAAAGCCGTTGATATATTTTCCTTAGATCCTTGAGGCGAGGATATATTTATTTGTTATTCTTCTACCACAGTAGAAAATAAAAGAGATTACAAGTAACAGAAATTGGAAAGGGTTTATGAGTATATATGTAGCGCGACTTTACAGTAATCATACGTGATTTGTTCTTTTAGTCTCTAAAGAAACCAGTGGTTCCGGTGATCGTGGGCGCAGATGATGACTGGCAGAGTACAGTAGTGGGACTGCTGGTTGCTGGTCAAGATAACCCTGCCATTAACTTACAGAATGTTCAGTCTGAACAGGAATTTTATCAGAAAGTACAAGACATTCAGTAAGTGACCAGAGACAGATCAGAGTGAAAGCTTTGATTTTCTTACATTGGAGAGGTTTGGTATTTTTCGAGAGTAATTTGATAGGCATTTGGTCTTTTTATTTAATCATTTTTTGCGACTGGTTCACTTTGTCTACCATTCACGAGCAAGACCAAATACATGGGTTGGTGGCCAGATGTTGCATGTCCCATGAAACGTATTGTCTTGTACACTTTGTCAAACTGGTGAATTATTCCATTTTGCTTTCGTGTTTAGTACTTTCTATTACCTTTCGGTTGAATGTGATAGGTATATATGTGCTTTTTGAATACATTAGTGATTACGGTCCGTGGAAAAACAGCATTCTGTTCTCTTGCAGGGCAGCCATTTTGCCTTTGCTTGGTGTTCGGGAGGAGTCCAGAAGCTACCGCGCACCTAGAATCGGTGATCACGTGATTTCCCACCACATGAAGTGGGCATTCTATGGTGCGACAATCGCCAGCTTTGACCGAGAGACCATGTCATACACGGTGAACTGGGACGATGGGGATCCAACAGGAAAAGTTCAATCTTATAAGGTGGAGTGCAAATTGTGATAAATACCTTGTGCGCGGTTAATTAGGCTGGCCCTTTTTTTAAGCTTAAAGCTATGTTCACGCCATACTGGATAGTTCTCGCGCCGGAACGAAAACCATACTAGATAGTCATTCAGTCAGCTGGTCAGTCTGCAAGTCTCTCAGTCATCCAGTCAGTCAGTCAGTCAATAGCCCATTCACAGACTCTCTCTTTTTTTTTCGAAGTCCGTTGAGCGTGGGTGATAAAAAATAAAAACCGCGGGGGATTTATTGACCGCCAACGCAAGGGGGTAGGGGTGGGGGGAGAAGAAAAATAGACGTTCTTTATTTTTCCTTCTCGCGCGCTCGCCGATGTTTTCGAAAAGAACGAAAAGAAAAATAAAACAACTTCTGTGTACAGGCTAGTCAGTCAGTCAGTTTGTCTGTTAATCTCTCAGTCAGTGAGTCATTCAGTGAGCCAGTCCGTCTTTTAGTCTCTCAGTCACTTAGTCAGACTGACTTCAGTTAGTCAGTCTGTAAATCAGTTTTTCAATCAGCCAGTCTCTCATTCACTGGAGGTCTGACAATCAGCCAGTCAGTCAATTCGCAATCTCAATCAGTCAGTCAGTTAGTCACGCTGCCCCTGAATCAGTCCGTTAGCCAGTGTGTTAATCATTCACTTAGTCATTCACTGATCACTAATTTTGCTTGCTTGTGATCTTAGGACCTGGCTATTGATCAGGTGCCCACCGTAGACCAAGTTGGTGTGGATTCAATTGTATTCTTCCCCCAGGGATCGTACGGAGCCACAGAAGGAAATAACACCGGAGGAATAAGGTTTCACCAGGGGATTGTCACACGCGTCTGGAAGGTTCGTTACTCCTTTTTAAGAGCTCCCTGGTCCTTTTCTTATTATATGTTTGGAAGCGAAATATTTTTTTAGTAGTTATCATCGATATTGAGACCCTGTTTTAGTTGCATCACCATTAAGTTATTGGTTGTTTACCATTTACAAAACGTTTTCGGAAAATCCAGTTGGAGAGTAAATGGAACACGACTTTCCAAGTCGTTCTAGGGGAAAATTTCCGGGAGCAACGGAATCTCTGAAAAGGTAGTCCTGTTTTTCCGGATGGAATATTTCAAACGGAAATTCGTGATCATTTCCTCTTCAAAGCCATCTTTGATTTGTACATATGGAAAACGGGATTCTGGAACGAAATTTACCAGTCGAAAATTTTGCTTACCATTTGCCGAAACCGTGGAGCGACCGGTTTGCCTATGTGAATGGTAAACAACTATTCTCTAAGGGTGCTGTCCACAAGTCAGAACTGGCCGGCCGGACCATGGCCAGACCAGTCATTTTGTAAATGAAACAGACTTTTTCCAAGGGTTTTTTTTGGCTGAAAAACAAAAACCATCTCCTAATTCTTCCTCCAGCCACAAAATTAACCCAATATTGGTTACCCTGTGCGTCATCATAACGAGCGTAATATTATTTGTGTTCGTCTCAGGACCCCTCTGGCGTCACCCGATATGATGGCCACCACACCAAAGGAGATGAAGACGGCAAATGGGTCACATACAGTGGATACCAATACAATTTCCAAGGAATACCTCTGGAAAAACTTAGGATCTCACCTAATGCCATGGACGCACTGATGGCGTGCCAACAGGCGTTCAGTTGACACAGCTAATGCGGATAAAGGTAATGTTACACGGGACGATTCGCAACGACGATTATTAGCGCAACACAGCGTTGCAATGTTGGAACAATGTTGTAACCATTCAACACAATGCCGCAACAATGTTGCAATACTGTGTTGCGCTTAAAATCGTCGTTGCGAATCGTCTCGTGTAACGTCACCTTATAAACGCAGTGAATTGGCCATTTCCGAATTGTCTCAAGCCTCTATTTAAAAGCGAGGCTACGTGCGAAGCCATTGGTGATTATTATTCATTCTCATTCAATATGCTGTACGCACAAAGCTGTACAAACTCCGGATGTTAGCGTTTTTTACTCACATCATCTTAAGTTACACTTATCGTGACCACAAATATATATTAACTGTGGCCTTTTTAGCAAGAGTACACTTAACAAACGAAAAGGGATTTTTATATTCATTTACGAGAATTTTACACATCGATACGTCACGTAACCAACAAGAGGACATCGCTGTATATCTTATAACTCATCAAGGACTTTCTTCCAAACCTGGGGGAGTCTGGGGGCATGCTCCCCCTCAAAATTTTTAATTTTGGGATCTCGAAAATGTCATCTCCTGCGTTTTCTGCAGGATATTTTCGGTAAATAAAGACGAAGGAAGATACAGTAATTAGTTGTTTATTTTACCCATCTATCTCTATTGTTATCGGTAAGGTGCAGACTGTTTACGTCAAAAAAGGGTAAAACAGTGGCGCCATCAAGGACGTTACAAGCAGAGGGCGAGATGTGTACCCTTTGGACGGGCAAACTCTTTTATCATCCCTTCTCAAACTCATTAATAATTCATTAAGAAAATACAAAGGAAATTAATGTTTAATGAGTGTTTGGAAATCGGATGAATCACTGCTTAGTATTTGCATCCTTAATTTCTCCTTCAAAAATGATTTTGTTTGAGAAGAAATATCAAACATTCGACACAGTGTTTCATCACCAGATGAAACACCTCGAAGTTCGTCAAAAATACTCCACTGCGCGTCGTATTTTCAACTCTCTTCTCGGTGTTTCATCTGGTGATGAAACACTGCATCTCATGTTTGATATATTACATCAAAATTAATTACGTCCTTGTGCTTGTGTATGTGCAGAATTGCAAGAGAACTCTCGTCTGCCATGGTCCTTCGTAAAGGAGTTTGCAGTATCTTCATACCCGGGGGGCGGGGGACTCCCTTATAAGGGCTTAATGGGGACGTGCGGCCAGCCAGGGTATGTTTTTCGGGATTTTTGTCTTAAACAGGGTATCGAATTTATCATTTTTTGTCTTAATCAGGGTATCGATTTATCAATTTTTGTCTTAAACAGGATAAATGTCTTAAACAGGGTATCAAAAATCGGAATTCTTTCTTAAACAGGGTAGGAAAATCAGCGATATTTGTCTTAAACAGTGTCAGGGTATGAGGGGCCGCGCCGCACCTCCCCACCCAGGGATATATCGAGTACCCCCCCGGGCTTCATACCGCTGAAGCTACACTCAGCTGTGCATATTGACACATGATAAGTCAACAAAGTTTCAAGAGCTACATTATACTCCAGGGTAGAATTGTAGTTGGCTTGGTCAAAAGTCTCAACCAAGGTCTGTCGGGTGTGTGGCTTCACTTTCGGATCCATTTCACTCCGCTTAATCAGTAAAACGATAAAGGAAATCCTAGCACAAAACGCCAATATAAATAATGCGAAATATTTATCCCAATTTAGGTCCTTTTTTGTTTACTTTTAGAGGAAATGTGGATCTGTTTCAATCATAATATACCTTGACAACTTTACAGAAAGGCCATCCCTGTTTCTAAATATTTCGACCCCCCCTCACATTTTATGCATTTTCAAAACTGACCCCCCCAAATTAAGCCTCTTAGAAAATTGTGCCCCCTCCAAACCAACCCACTCCTCCCCCCCCCCGCCACCTCTGCTGAGACGTAATAAACGATCGGTCCCTAGGGGACGGACCATTGGAAATGACTGGAGGAGGGGTGACAATTCTCAAAAAAGGTTTTTTTACGGGTCACTGATCCGACATGTTGAGCAGATGTTATAAAGCATTGTACGTTTTTATTGTGTTGTTCAAAATAAGGGATGCTAGTGGAGAGAGAAAATACTTAATTACAGCGAGTAATTTAACGGAGCTTACATTAACCTTAAATAAAAATAGTAAGAACGGACTTTTGAACTGTTCTTTTATTCGTTTTATATAATATTATAGTATTGTTGGTTAGATTTTTTCCCCTGGGGTAGGGCTCTTTTGACACTTTTGATTGACCTTTCGTTTCCGACCCTTGGGAATTTGATCAAAAAATTTTAAAATTTGTCAAATCCCGTTCCTTGCCCGCACTCCCCCCTCCCCACCCAGTCCCCCGACGGGATTTACATTGTTAGGGGCATAAAACATTGCTTCTGCATCGTGACCTGACCTTTCTTGGTAAGAACAGTGGTCAATAGGAACAGAAGGGCCATTTCAATCCAAGTACAAATTTGTAATTGTGCAGTTTGGTAAAGGAACGCTACAACTCAAGGTATTGTAAAAATGATTCTAACGTGCCGAAAGACAGTGATTTCGACTTAATCTGTTTCAAATTAGTTTCGTGTTACGCAACAAATGTACTCACTGATTCTTACGCGATATTACCCTTGGAGCACGCTTGTTTTGCTTCATAAAGGCTTAAAGAGCGAGGAATATTACGATATTACGTTTGTTGCGCGCTATTTTCTTAAGAAACGTAGTCGCAAAACGAATAAAACAGCAAAGAACTGTAAAATCGAGACAATAGGTTAAGAATTGGAGAATCGTAAGACGAAAATCGTGAATCGAAATAATCATAGAGTGGAAACCGAATTATGGGTCACAACTCCAATTATACTATTCCCTGATTCAGCACTTATCGCACCCTTACAAATGGGTTAATCTAGCGTAATATGAATACAGTCAAACCTGTTTTAAGCGGCACCGTATTGACCGGTCACCCTCTATTAAAGTCCCGAAAATTACCTCCCTTGATGCATTGTAATTTCGACCTCTATTAAGCGGTCGCGGTCACTATTTGCGAAGTCGCAACGGGACTTTTTCCATTGTCTTGACCTGTATTAAACGGTCACATGGTGTCAATTATTTGTTCATACAGTTTCATTCATTTCCTTGGATATTTTCGCAAATCATTAAAACGCCGTAAGTGAATGTTTCTATTCATGAGGTCAAACTTCTGATCTGATCAGCACTGGAGATCGAATTCCTTGAACTGTATTTCTTGAAACCTGCATTAGGCGATCACCCTGTATTAAGCGGTCACTTAGCCGTTCCCCGGGTTCGACTGTATTTCTAAACGAAATTAAATAGCAGGTATATGACCTGACTTGTTCGGTAGTTAAACCTGATTGGTGGTTTGCATTTGCGTGTGTCTGAAATGCAAATTGATAGGGTTGGCAAAATTTAGGGTCACGGATGCACTTTTGCCTCGTTTTTCCTCCAGTGTCAGATTTAGGCTAGCATTTATACGGACGGTTTCGGTCATTTCGCACGCTCGAATCACAGTCCGGACGATTTGTTCTTTAAGACATGATTAATAATGAAAATTGAATTCGATGTTCCCTAAGATATTCCAAAAAGACGCTTAACACGCTAAAATGTTGCTTTTGAAATCGATTTGGAAGTGCTCACAGGTGGTCGGAACATCTTCAAACATTTTCGGCAACGTTTAGAAGTCTTTGGAAAATCATCGGAAATGTTCGGAAATTCCGGTAATGACAAGGTGAACGAAGACCTCGACTCGGAAAAAGTTGGCAGGCACACACAAGCGTGGGTTCAAGGTTTTGGTTAATAAATCGTAACAGATCGGCGGATTTGCATACCCCTATTCACCCCCCTGTTATATCCCTGTTATTACAGTAATCATGAAGGGTGATCGCTTAAAGGTTTTCTTCTAATGATCATACGTAAACCCAGCCGTACGCAAGTTTGTTTTCACCGCAAGCTCTGCGTGTATGAATCAACGATATTGACTTATTTTTGCCGTCAGTATCGGGGCATCGTTAAAATTTCCTCTGAGATTAAATAGACAATGAAATATTTCTTTTCAACTGATACAGCCGCAACCAAATGAACAGAATCACATCGCTTCGTTTCCTGTTTACCCCTTCGAGCGCCTTTCATGGCAGCCACCGCAGGGCATATTCCACAAAACCTGCTCAAAAGATCGGGATCATAGGCTTGGGAAATGTTGGATCAACAGTCGCCAAGAATCTCCTAAACTCTGGCTTTACTGTATCTGCTCTTCTTGATACTAACGTAAAAGCAGGGCAGGAACTCCCTGGGGATATACCCCGTCCGGGGAACCCCAAGGAACTGGCCGCGATGTGTGATGTTGTCATAACAGCACTTCCTGCTCCTCCACACGTGAGAAAGGTTCTGAAAGGCGAGGATGGGGTGTTAGCTGGATTGCGGTCTGGTGGAGTGTGGATTGACCATTCCACTACGGATTACCAACAGACTCTGGAACTAGCTAAAGAAGCAGGTATGACTGGTTTTAGGCTTGCCTGTGCTGTGCAAATAGCCAAGAACGAAACCAAGCGAACATTAGACGCGCGTGATCTGAGGACTGTAGGTCGAGCGAGTTCTCGCATCACTTTTACTGCCCGACGGCACACTATTATCTTGGATCTTGTTCCAGGGTTTCAGATAGTGGAGAGAGGCTGCTGCCACTATCTGAACGCCTGGGACGGGTAAGGCTGGTTATTAAGAATAATCAGTGGTCAAACTACACAACTCCGCGGTATGACTGGTACCTTGCAAATGTTGATAAGCCCAAACGAGGGCAAAACAGCTGTCCATTGCTGCAACGCACTACGTGGGTGGTACTGCTGTGCGCTGGGCATACTGTAGAGTTGTAAGGAGTAGCCATTACTTTCAATTGGTTTTGATGTAATAAAACTGTCTGAAAAAAGAGCAGGTTGAAAATCCTGTTATGACTTTCTTTACGT